CTCGGCTAAGAATATGGGTTTTGAAGAGCCCTGGTCAATTTGGAAAAGTCTGGGGCGTCGGGCAACTATGTTCGGCGCCGATCCCTAGAGGGATGTCTGCGGTATGCTGAGGCGCTCAAAGCGCATAAGTGTGATGTCATCACTGTTTGCTTGGCGACAGGGTCACCGTGCCTAAAGTTCCACTGAGCTTAAACGTAAAGTTCTTAGACTTCGATAGTATTGAACGTTGTCTTGTGCTTCATTTGGACTCGAGACATGATCTCAATCTTGGGATTGCTTGGCTGGAACGCCACGAACCATGTATTGATTGGAGGTCAAAAATCTTAGGCGCAACGCGCAATGTTCCTAGCGAAGCTTTCAAGAGTCATGAAAAAAGAAGATTAGCTAGGCAACAAAAGCGCTATTAGCGCGAGCCACTAACTGAGACTGTTAGTGTGCTGGACATCGAAGTGTCTGAGTTAATTAGCTCTGATGTCATTTACAAGAGTAAAACGGCACGTAATCCGTTAAATGACACTGGTATAATAGTGAATCAATTAATGCTAGTAGCATTGATGGCCTAAAGCTGAGTCTCCCTGGGTGTGATCCATGTGATGCGCGTGGAGTGGCACGCATAAATCCACCGGGTGAGGGAGGCTGCGATATCACCTCACCGAATGTCGGTAATGATATTGTTGGCAATATGCCAAGGAAGTTGGGGCTAGCACCGAATGGTTTATGTGCAAGGGCACGTAATCCACTGAGTGAGGTCGGCCGCGATGGCACCCGACAGAATGTCGGTAATGACATTGTTGGTGGATCATCAAGGCATCGAGAGCCGTGCTCATTCGATGCGAGTACAGTGGAGGGTAATTCACTGAGTGAGGAAGGCCTTGATGGAATCACACTGAATGTCGGTGATATCTTTGATGGCGATACGCCAAGGCATTATGAGCCATGCTCATATGATGCGAAAGTCGTAGAAAATAACCCACCGAGTGTGTTCGGCCGCGATGGCACCACACTTAATGTCGGTGATGACATTGGCTCTTAAATAGAGCAAGTTGAGGTTGGAGATGATCTTCACTTCGTGGAACCAGATTTTCCTAACACGTTAAAGTGTTCAGTCTCTGTCCAGAGACGGCAGCGATGCCAGATGGATGCTGCAAAACGATAGACATCTTCCATGTCCCAAAAGGACACCAGTGAACAGTTGTACACATTGGTAATGGGGTGAAGGGCGATATTGATGTAGAAGTTGGCCTCGAGGCCCTCCCGTCGCTTAACACTATGTTAGAGCTAGATGAAATGTCTGTAGATGACTTGCAAAAGTCCTTTAATGCCGGTGCTTTGTCTGATATGGTGATCCTTAGACCTGACCTAGAGTTGAACTCGTCATTTCTTTTGGATGAGATATTCCTTGAGGGCATTAAAGTTGCACGTAGTACTCACGGTGGATCTGCTATCCTTACGGATCCTTTGATCCCTTCTACTCCCTGGTTAGGTCATTTCAGGATGTGGTGTGTAACGATTTATCATATAACCTACCTCTCGACAGAGGTGTGCGTCGTGAGATTGACCTGGTCCCTGGGACCAAGATTATGTTACAAAACAATGGCCGTTGCCTAAGGAACAGTGTGAAGTCATTGACGATTTCTTTCGTGCAAAGCACGCGGCAGGCTTGGTACGGGAGAGCAAATTCCCGCATTCGACACCGAAATTTTGTTTCAGAATTCGAATGGTAAGTGTCGTATTGTGTATGCTTACAATGATTTGAACGCCGCCACTATCTCGGCACAGGCACCTATACCTAGAAACGATGTTCTTCAGAACGCTATGGAAGGTTGTACCGCGTTCAGCGCACTCGACTTGGTCATTGGGTATTACTAATTTCTCATGTGAGCGAGTGATATTCCGCTCACAGCGGTTTGTACTCCAAGAAGTATGCTTTGGAGTGGCTTGTAATGCCTTAAGGGCTGTCTAGTGCCCCGGATACAATTAATCGTCTCGTGACGCAGCTGTTACGACCTCACCGAGAATACCCACAAAGCTATTTCGGTGACATCTTTGTCCATAGCCGTGCAGACCATAGCATATCAGATGTAGAAAATAAAATTGGCCATTTACGAGCATTGCTCGAGTGAATGCGCAAGAACAAGCTGTACGCAAATGCATCAAAGTGCATATTTGGTGCTGACGAAATTCTCTTTTTCGGATGATCCATTGGGAAGTGTGACCTTCGAGCGGATCCCGCTAAGGTAAAGTCAATTGTTGACTGGCCGGTTCCGTCGAACCAAAAGGACTTGCCTAAATCACTAGGCCTAGCTAAATGCTTGCACAAGTATAGTGAAAACTACGCTGATATGGCAAGTCCATTAACCAACCTCCTCAAGAAGAATGCAGTTTGGTGTCGAGACGCAGTCCATGCTCAAGATTTTGAAAATATAAAAGACAGTCTAGTCATTCTCCAATTTTGGCTTGGACTGACCCTGAGTGTCCTTTCAGTGTCGTTTGTGACGCGTATGATTTTGATATCGGTTGTGCATTATTGCAGACAGATGTCCATGGACATGAGCGCGTCATTGCGTACGAATCTCGCCAGCTCAGGCTGCCTAGAAGAACTATCCACTTCATGACAATGAGTTACTCACGATGAAACATTCTCTTGTTAAGTTCAGATTCCACCTACTTGGCTCAAAGCCTTTTGTGATCTTCAAAGATCATGCGTCGGTACGCACTGCGAAACAGTCGCCTCACCTCTCACAGCGTGTGTCCCGTTGGCTTTCATTCTTTGCTGAATAAAACTTCGAGGTGAAGTATAAGCTAAGCAAGAAAAACGATTTGGTGGATGCGTTGTCACGCAGGCCTGATTATAAGCTTGCTCATGTTACGACTCTGGCGTCATTAGCTGTGGATTTAATTCGTGTAGCATATGCAAGTGATGAGCAATGTACAGCATTGATACATTCTCTTGGAAGCAACGAGTTTCAAGACTCTGACATCAAAATTTCGGCACGCTTACATGCGAGCCTGAATCGATATGTCATCGATGGTGGGTTGTTGTGCTATAGCACGGATGCGGCGTATACTTCGCGCATCGTTGTTACTCATGATGAGGACTTAAAGTATCGTATCCTCTTTGAGGTACATGACAGGGCTTTGAGCGGTCATCTTGGTCGTGAGAAGACATAAAGCTCAGTTAGCCAGACGTATTGGTGGCACAGCTGTGAACATGAATAGACACATATGTGCGTACATGTGACACGAGTCTATGCGTCAAACCCTCAGCACATGCGGTTGCACCGCTTGCTAGTTTGTCTGTACCCACTGGATGTTGGGGTCCATCAGTATGGACTTTGTGCTTGGCCTACCCAGGATATGGACGGCAACACTGATATTGTGGTCTTTGTCGACCGTTTGAGCAACATGTCTTTACCAGCGGCTGCGACTGGTTCCATCGTTGGTGAAGGTACAGCAAAGTTGTTAATAGACCGTGTGTTTCGTCAACACGCTTTGCCTGTGGCAATTGTCTTTGATCGTGATCCATATTTCCTGGCAAGTTTTGGACTTCCATCTTCAAGGTGCTGGGTACCAGGTTGGACGTGTCCACATTGGATCATCCGCAGACCGATGATCAAACTGAGCGTGTTAAACGTATCATTGGTGACATTTTGCGCTGTTTTCGTGCCGATAAGCCTAGGCAATGGAGCTCTATGCTCCCATAATCGAATTTGCGTTAAACAACGCTTTTCATGCATCTGCGGCTTTACTCCATGCTACGTAAATGGTATCACTCACCCACGTGTTCCGTTAACTCTTCCTCTACAAATTTCTGGGCTTGGTGGGGGGAAAAGCCGATCGGCTTGCTGATGTCACCTTTAATACTATTCAAAAACAGGTGAGCGAGTTCCTCGCTACGTGATTGAATGTCTTACTATATGTACGTGAAGCAATGGCTGATAGCCAGGACAAACAAAAGGAACAAGCTAATGCCAAAATTAGAAAGTGTCTTGAGCGTTATGGAGCTAGAGACCTAGTCTTGCTTAATGCTGAGAATCTGCCTATCAAGGTGGTGTCAGCAGTCTGAGAGACTAAGTTGCGTCCTCACTTCATTGGGCCTTTTTGGGTTGTGGCCAAGAAGGGCCTAGCCTACACGCTCAACCTTCCACGCAATATGCGATCACACCCACTGTTTTACGTCGGTTTGCCTATAGTTTTATCGTATTACGTCACTGGTGGATCACGAGGCGCTTGCGCCGAAAGAGTTGGCGATGCCTCAAGTCGAGAAACCCTAAACAGAAGATCCAGTTGTTCTTCAAGACACACCAATCGGTCACGCAGACCGTGCACCTTGTGCACTAACTCGTCAACGACGCGTCGAGATTGACCGAACACCGCCTGCTCTCTGACAAGCTAGAGGATCTACTATAAAATGTTGAGCGAATCCTGGGGCAATGTCGTCGCGACGGTCAGTACCAGTACTTGGTACAGTGACGGGGGTACTCGGAGTTGGAGAACTTATGGGAGTGTTAAGGGACACTGCGGCATGATTATTCGTATGCCGTCGACGTTTATAAATGTCTTATTCAGGGTCAGTCGACATATGCCGCTTTCCACCAGTCGGTGTGGGATTCTAGAGGGTCGCAGCTGCAGCAGGTGCGCTGATACGCGGGTCTGTGGCTGACGCAGCACAACGGGTGCGATAAAACGATTGCAGATGGCCTTTTGTTTTGCAAAATTACAGCGCTTCTTTCGTTCGAGCCGAACGTCGTCAAGTGTAGCGCTATCTTGGAGATTCGACAGGCTTGGCAGACGACGAGTTTTGTGAGCCCAACGCGTATAGAAGAGATCATTTCATGCCCATGTCTCATCAGGGAAACAAACGCCGAGTACCGTCCACATAGCGGACACTGATGCACCTTGATCTTGCAAATTCAGCCTGTCAATGTACTTTTGAGTAGTCATACGCTCGAAGTCCAAGTATAGCGCTCAAAGAGCCTCCCTCTCCGCTAATGCTGTGACTATGACAGCCTTGGGTCCCGTGTACCATGTTGCGACTGACTGCCCGGCAGTATGGCGAACGCGTTCATCCACAATCGGTTGTATGAAGCAGGAACCACTGTGAGCACGCGCTGTGGATACACATTGTGCTTGACGCCTATAGGCATCGACCGACTGGGGTATTGCGCTTGATCTTCACCAAGTGTGTTGTGCAACGCACCCAACGCAGGGTCGACGGCTGCACGCTGTGCAAGGGGTGAGGATACCTCCTTGCGTACCACGAATAACTTAGGCGCGATGCGCGCGGTGCCACACACCGGTGGCGTAGCTGGAGGATGGTCGTAGATAATCGACGCGGCGGTGTCACTCTCATAGTCCGCCATACCCAATTTGAGAAATTCTTCCAGGGTGTTGGACGAAGGGTTTGACTCAGTCATTTTGGGATGTGTTGTGAGCACGATGGTCAAGAAACGGAGCTTTGAGACCTCAAAGCGCAGTAGAAGAATTGTCAACACAAGGGTATTGCCTTTATGCTGGGGGAGGGTGTAAAGGGGTTACACGCGGTTATTAAACCGGTTACGTTGTAGGTCCACAACAAGTAGAGATCGGTGATTCTGGGTGGTGCTGTGTCGGTACCATGTACTTACGGTAATACCACACCTTATCGGGTAAGGATTAGGGAAAAGACTTCTGTCATAAAATCGCAATGCAGAAGTCAGTCAGACAAGGTTTTATGGTTTTATTACCGTATTTAATGTATAGATAAAGTTCAGTTCCCCTTGTAAATCGTTGGACACAAGTGCCTAGTCAATGCATAGTGTGTTGTAAAGAGCATTAGCCTCGCGAAGACGCTTACTCTTGTTTAACTAGTAGTGACTAGTTAGTGTGTGATTCTGTGAAACGTAACAAATACCCTTGAAACCGGGATTGTTAAGCTCGTATGCTTGAACGACTGTACGTCGTTGTTAGTTTGTTGTAACTTAGAGACTCTTTGAGTCGAAGACTTCCTCTGTCAAAGAGCGCTAAGTAGCTCCGCTACACAGCCTCAGATGCTAAAAATAGAAAGCTTCGATTATGCTTCATGCCCGTGGATGGGAATGCATTGTCTTGTGCCTGACAAATCTATTCTGCTGCCGTTGTGAAGATCCGGGACTGAGCTTATCTCTGACCTGGTCTTGTTTATGAGCCAACTTGATGCTAGGTGTGCTTGTGATGTGCACCTGGACCTGACGCTTCCTCTCTATCTTGAGATCCGTTCGCTTTGTCGACATGTTTGAGGTGGAACTGAAGCAAATGTGCAAAATGGCAGGCGATGCGTGACTGCAGCAAGTCCAATCTAGAGGGATAACTGGTGGTTGGTGCGCACTATTTTAGCACCCCGTTTCATAAGTCCCTTTGCACAGCCAACACACATAAACCAAGTGGCGCGGCTTAATGCGGGACACAGAGTTCCTCAAACAGGAATTTTACCCTCGATAGGGTTTTTTCCATGGAGCGACGACTGTCCTATACAACAACCACAGGCGACGGACTGGACGACTATTAGTGTTTGAAAACCCGAAAACCCACTCGACCGTACTCTTTTCGTAATCTGTGCGAACCCCCAATCAGCAGACAGCATTCATTCGTCCTGTCAACTAATCGCCTTCAAATTCGGGTACACGACCCCAACCAATAATCAATCAAAGAGTCCACTTCTCGCTCACGCCACGGATGGGGGATGCCAAGGGGCAGCGTGAGCCTCCGGTACGTCTTTGTAGCATGCAACTTAACTGCTACTTGCTTTCGTCCTCCGGTTACTCATGCTCTTGTGCTGAACCCACAGGCAACGGTTGTTGGTGTCGTACAGGATGCTCTGATTGGGATGCGGACCCGCAAAAGCTTTGGCTCGCGGGTTTTCTGGGGTTTGGTGGTCAGCTGTTACTGGATCTCAGGCGGCCTTTTCTATAAAGTGAGCTTTGACGATGGAGACGTGGACATCTTGTCGTCTGACGAGGTGCTTCAGGATGTTGCAGCAGCCAAGCACCATGTTGAGGAGAAGAAGAACCACGAGGAGAGTTCATTGCCACCTGTGGATGAAACGGCAGGGAACGATTACGTCAGTGTCATGAGGGTACAGAGCTTGAAGCAGAAGCAGAACTTGAAGCGGAAGCGGGAGGATGGTGTCGAGGGGTTGGCTCCGCGCACAAGACGTGTGCGTTTGTGGGGCCAGCGACTCTACGCTTCTATCTACACGAACATGCAGAATGAGACGTTTATAAAGAAAATGATTCGGACCGATGAAGGCGGAGTGGGCGAGATGGAAGCGACGGGAGAAGTCGAGGTGGGAGACATGGTCGTTGCAGTGAACGACACGAGAGTGCTGGGCATGACGAGCAAAAACGTCGCCGCACTCATCCGGAAGCCCAACCGGCCCATTACATTGACGTTCTATCGACCACCACAGTCGACGGTATTCACACAACCGCAAGAAAAAGCGAGTGTACAGGATAAACTGCCAGGTGCACCAAGTGTTCCAGCGACGACCACGGCTGCTCCACCGCAGACGCAACAGGTTCGGCAAAACTTGACGCAACCGCTGAGTGTGTCGTCGACTCCGCTTGCTGCTACAATATCTGTACCATCGACCGTTGCATCCGCCCCTGCTCTGGTGTCGTCGTTGCGTGCCACTCCTCAGCAACCGCTTACTCGCCCGCTATCGATGGTGCAAAAGATGGCCGCGCAATGGATTCAACAAACCTGCATGTCACATGCGTATGACCTATCGACAAGCAAGGGATTAATCCTGCAACGACTGAGTCAGATTGCTGCTGCAAGGCAAGCAGGCTTTATGTTCGGGTATCCGCCGGGCGTGTTTGTGCGTGAAAATGTGCCTCCTGCTGGTACAGTGCCTTCAGCGACCAACGGCACAACTGAATCTCATCAGGTCTGCGCTGTGCAGAGAGTCGTCAGTACTGCTCCAATGACACGTGTGCCAGATGTGTCGGTTCCTACTGCGCAATATACGAGACCGGTGCACCAAGTTCGTGCCGCCGTGCCTGTAAATCGACCTGACAGTAACCATGAGCATAGCCAGCGACAACATGCTGGCGTGGTGGTTGGCGAACAAGCGCAGCAGATACAAGCAGTGCCTGTTCCAAGCGAGTCTTCTGATGAGCGGATACTATCTAGCTCTACAGCAGGGACGAGCTCGATATCAAAGGAAACGCCTGTACCTGAGGTCGGACCAGAGCAACCAGTTTCTGCGTTAGACCCCGGGCAAACCGGACATGAAGCTTCAAAGTCCAGACAAACCTTCGATCTGGAGATCACAAGCGATCGACCATCCGGTGAAAAAATGTCGTGCGAGAGCCTCAGCTCCACGAGTACTTTGGAGTGGTCTACTTCCAGTGTTGGCACGAATGTGCTGGTCATGCAGGATGCTGAAGCGTCTGTAACACTAGACAAGAAAAGCTCACGGACTGCCGAGCAGGCGATGGATATCTCTACTGATCCTTCGTTGCCGCCATCAGAGGAAGCGCCTGAAGAGGACATCATGAAAGCTGCGCCTTCGTCTGTACCGGCAACTGCACATGGTGGTGAAACCCAATCGACCTTGATGGAGGCGAGCGCTTCCAACTCGATGTCGTTCCTGTCACCGAGCGCTTTTAGTGGCGAGTCAAGTGTTCTGTCACGTCGACAATTGTCAGCTGCGAGTATGGCCGATTGCTTTGCACAAGTCGAGTCCAGTGTCGGCCTCGTGAGCGTAAGGGTTTCTCGTCGGCGACTGGGCCTCACCTTAGGTGTTCAGGGTACGCTGATCGCTGTCACTTCTTTCGTCAAAGACGAAGCTGGCCGACCCGGCGAGGTCGAAGCGAGCGGCAAGATTTTCATTGGCGATGTGTTAGTGCGTGTCAACGGGACCTTTATCATCTCCGGGTTGACGCCCGGTCATGTAGCAAATATTGTAACCCGCTCGTCACGGCCAATGACACTTTGGTTTAAGCGCGCATCGTGGGATATCCTAGATGGCAAAGCGTAGAGCAGTCAGCAACACACAAGCGGACGGGTGAGGGAAGCGGAGAAAGGTATTTACGACGTTAGTGATGTTAACATGCTAGAGCTATGTGAACTGAACTCGTGTTGTTATGCAACCTCAAGTCACTGCTGCGTTGTTCTGAGCATACAGGCACTCACTTCACGGGACCACCATCACCTTCGATGAGACCGCGCTCAAAAGACATTGTCGTATTTTTCCATCGCCCCAGACACAGCATCGACGACCCGGACTTCGTTCATGACGTAGACCGAACGGAATGCACCAGACTCGTCGAAACGCTGGATGGTGCGTAGACGCCGCGAGCTGTCGATACCTGTGATTGTCTCCACCATCATCGGACGTCCTGCAACATCAACCAGCCCTCCACGTTAGAACCGGTCCCAGAAGAAGAAAAAAATGCGCACACAAACCAACTGAAAAGAGGATGAGCAACTCCTCACCTGAACGCTTGGAAGTAGCCGTGATGATGATGACGTTCGTGCCAAGCTCCTGCATCGTAATATCAGAGCCACGCAGCGTCGGGTCATCCGTTTCGATCTTGAGGATACCGTCCGACACGGGTTTAATCCACATGTGCTGCATGGACGTGAGTCCACTCATGGTCGTCCTCGACTGGCGCTGACTCCACACCCCCTCGTCGTCCCGGAACACGAGCTCATTGGAGCACACTTGGCTGCCTTCATCCTGTGGCGGAATCGTCGCGAGTTCGCCATTCCATCGACCTTCCATGCTGGGCAGGACATGGAAGCTGCAGCCATTGACACGGACCGAGAGCTGGTTGAAAAAAGCTCTGCCTGCACCCACGTTCTGCTTAGCAAAGTGCGACGGTAAACTGCTGTTCAGCGAGCGCGAGATGATGCTTTTCTCCATGCCAAGACGGTGCACCGTGCCATCAGAGCCTGCTGCCCAGATATTGTCTAGTACATTCCACACACAGCATCAGTATCATGTTTGACAATGCCGGAGATACAATTATAAACACCTCCATCGATCGATCAGGGTACGAAGATCCAGATACTATTCTGGATAAAAGGTATACCCTACCTTCTTTTAGCATCTGCATGTTGACCTCCTCGTGTTTCCGGCGGTTCTTGATACTCTCGGCCAGCACCTTGTAGTTCAGTGGATGAAACGGCTGTTGCGCCACCTCCAGATGCACCAGCACGTCGCCGTCTGTGATACCTAGTTCCGCCAGAGTCTTCTCATCGGCCAACTCTTTGCCCTTGTGCAGCAACGAGATAAAGTTGGGGTGGCCAACATTGTCCCCGTTTTCCAGGTAAGCAGCTTTCACGCCTGCGACGCTCTCCCCTGGGAACGTCTCGAGCGCAAAGGCACTGATCTCGTTCCGAATCGTGACTTTGATCTTCTCCGCAGCAGTGGCAGCAGCAGAAGCAGCAGAAGCAGCAGTAGCAGCTGAAGATACCATCGATGTCATGCTTGCGTCGGTATGTGTACGATATTACCGTCCAGGACGGTACGGCTCGGTACAATGTCGCGGTTTTGGTTCGATTGCTGGTTGCAAAAGTTATTGTGAGCGACGAAAGGACGAGATCACTTCAAGTCGCAACGACGGATGTCGAAAAATCGAGAAAAAGGAATTTATCCGTCGGTCGCGCGGTAAACCAGTTTAGAAATGAGACTCGTACAAGTATACGTTCAGAGCGGTCGAACCAATCATCGGTGAGCCCGGCGTTTCGAGTAGAAACGCTAGGGGGTACACACCAGTTTTATGTTTCTACTGGCTGGGGTACACCCACGACCGACACACGTACGAGTTCGCCAACGTCCCAAGTTCCCAGCCGCCACGATGCTCGGCTTGCGGCCCCGTCTGCAGCTTCTCCAGCGCGTCTCTGAGCGCTCAAGTCGAACTGGATCGTTGCCTCCTATTGCCTTTGCTAGAAACGTACGTTGTTGTCCCGTGCTTGATCCCCCTCCTGTCGTTGGACTCCCAGCGTATGCACTCATGTCCCTCTTGTATACTTACTTAAATCATACCGCAGTCGCTCGTTTGTCTACCGCTACAATCCGTAACCCGTAACCCATTCGAGGCTGCGGGAGCCAAGCGCTCGCTGTTTAATATGGCCCAACGCAGGAAACATAAGCAGCTCAAGGGTCTGGAACAAGCAGCTAATGCCAACCCAGAGGACGCGTACGCACAACTGCGTCTGTTGCAGGAGCTGAACCGAAACGACTACCCGGCGCTCGTTGTCCGCCGGGTGGAAGAGAACCGCTTTGCGCTGGACGATGCGGTGCAGAAAGAGTACATCAAGGCGCTGGTCAAGACTGGCCGGCTCGATACTGTTGACCTGCCGCAATTGGTCCAGCCAGCTGAAGCTGCTGGGTCCACTGCGGTCCGACATCTTCCATCCAGCTCGGTTGTGGGCCGCGGAGGTCAGGGCTGGTCGTCTCATGACCCGGTCTTCGTGTCCATGGTGGAAGGCAGCTTCAAGAGCAACATGTGGAAGACGCTGAGGACGCTTGGCGTGGCTTTTCTGGTTGTGTCGGCGCTGGGAGCGATGCTTGACGAGAAAGTGGGCAAGATTGGCTCGGCATCGAAAGTTATGGGCCCTACAGGCAGTGACAAACGGTTCAGTGATGTGAAGGGAGCGGCCGAGGCCAAGCAAGAGCTGGAGGAGATTGTGCAGTTTCTGCGAGACCCCGCTCGCTTCACGCGTCTTGGAGGCAATTTGCCCAAGGGCGTGCTACTCACCGGTCCGCCCGGTACGGGCAAGACGCTGCTGGCCCGTGCTATTGCAGGTGAAGCTGGTGTGCCGTTCTTTTACTCGTCTGGATCAGAGTTTGAGGAGATGTACGTGGGTGTTGGTGCGCGTCGCGTGAGAGACCTGTTTGAGTCGGCCAAGCGGAAAGCACCATGCATCATCTTCATCGATGAGATCGACGCGATTGGTGGGACACGTAAGCTGAAGGAACAACAGGCCATGAAGATGACGCTGAACCAATTGCTGGTAGAGCTGGACGGGTTCGATCAGAACAAGGGTATCATTGTCATCGGTGCTACAAACTTCCCGGATGTGTTGGACAATGCATTGATCCGACCGGGTCGGTTTGACCGGCACGTAACGGTGGATCTACCTGACGTGGCCGGTCGCAAAGAGATCCTCGAATTTTACGGCGGCAAAGTTCCTCTTGCAGAGGATGTCGACTTGGATGTACTAGCGCGTGCTACGCCTGGTATGTCCGGTGCGGAGCTCTCAAATCTGGTGAACGAGGCTGCGCTGCGCGCATCAATGAAGAGCGCAGACGTGGTGAACATGGATGCGTTTGAGTACGCGAAGGACAAGATTCTTATGGGTGCCGAGCGTCGTTCCGCTTTGATCACACCCGAGTCGGCAAAGCTGACTGCTTACCACGAGGGTGGTCACGCGCTGGTTGCGATCAACACGCCGGGCGCACACCCTGTTTACAAGGCGACTATTATGCCGCGAGGACAGGCATTGGGTATGGTTGCGCAGTTGCCTGACGGTGATCAGACCTCGATTTCGCGGAAGCAGATGTTGGCCCGGCTGGATGTGTGCATGGGTGGTCGTGTGGCAGAGGAGCTGACATTTGGTGAGAGTGAGATCACGGGTGGCGCGTCATCGGACATTCAGCAAGCCACGAGCGTCGCTCGCGCCATGGTGACCAAGTACGGCATGAGTGAAAATGTGGGCTTGGTGTTCCACGATCTGCGTGGCAACGATACCAGTGCCACTACTCGCAAGATTATTGATGACGAAGTGAAGAAGTTGTGCGACGCGTCGTACAAGCGTGCGAAGGATATCCTCGTAAGCAAGCACCATGATTTGGAGAAGCTGGCGAAGGCGTTGCTAGAATATGAGACACTGTCGGGTGCTGAGATCGACAAGGTCCTCAAGGGCGAAGCGCTGGAGCGTAAGCCCATTGAGTAAGTACTCCACAGAGCGGCACCGACAACACATGTGTCAGACCAAGGATGAGGGAGGAGTCGTGCGGACAGAGGGGGCAGGTAGGGCATAGGGGGAAGTTTTGATTCTGTGCATGTTACGTGGCGGACAAGCTGCTTACCGGCTGCACGGATGGTGAATGAAGATGTGTATTGCTGCTTGGTGTTTGATGCTTACTGCTGGTACTGCAGTCTACACTGTCGCACAGCATGATCTGCATGCACCTGCGCAACTGTTGCAACCACCTCTCCGACATCATCCATCATGAGGGCACAGACTGCTTACGCTGTTGCTCTAATCTGCCCAGTTATTGTGGCCATGACATTGTCAAAACATATGCAACGCCTTACTTGCTCTACCGGAGATACTGCTATGCTAGGACTGACAAGTCACAGAATAAAGTCAGACTCCATGATTATTATTTCCTTACGTTGAGCCGACTATACCGCTCCAAAAGCTCATGTCGACCATCAAGACGAACGACTATACAGCCTCGTCTGACCCAGGTGCAGTGCGAAAAAACGACAAATACACGGTAGTGGACGTATAACTTGAAAGCGCTTTCCGGTGACGATAAACAAGTTTGCTGCCAATCCTGCTGACGTTGTCTCAGGCAGGAGACGCAGTGTCGGCAGCAAGAATGCTTCCCCAAAACAGCCGAGCTCAAACTCGCCGCCCTCTCGTTCACTAACGTCGACTACTCTACGTAGAGATCCTGCCTATCTATCAGCCTGCAAGAAGACTACATGAGGTTATCCGTCTCCTCTGGGATCTGCACTGTCACGCCTTCCATAGCTCTTGTCACTTTGATCTGGCAGCCCAATCGTGACGTGTCCGTGAGACCCCACGCCAGGTCCAGCATATCCTCCTCCTCCTCGCTCATCTCCGGTAGCTCGTCGAAAATGCGCTTCTCAAACACCAAATGACACGTGGAACACGCGAGTTCCCCGCCACAAGCGCCCTCGAGCTCCACGTCGTGCTCATGGGCCACATCTAGCAGCGATTGGCCCTCGTTGGCCGTCACGGTCGTGCTCGCCCCTTCCCCGTCAACAAAGGTGAACGTCACTTGGGCAAACGAGCGGTTAATAACAGGAGGAAGTGGTGCAATAGTACTGCGTTGGGCAGGCCTGGTCGAAACGCGCAAGGCTGGCCAGCGAGTGGCGCGGCGTAGTCGAGTGGATATGGCGAGCATGGACCGGTTGGTTAGTGCGGGATTCTGTATGGTCCTTCTTGTTTGTAGCGTAAGTATTGTGTTGTGAGGAGGTTGAGGCTGAATAGTGAGTGGAGAAGGGACTCAGTGAGCACAAAAGAGAGGGAATCAGAGCGCCGAGTTCCTATTCTTTTCGTTCGTCACGCTCCTAATATTATTTACGTTTGCAAAGCGCCGATCCACTTTTTCAACACAATGTTCACATCGTTGTGACTATTTAGCGTTTCCCACCAACGAGATGCTTGTATTGGCTACGTGTGGATGTGATTGCGAGTATACTTGGAAGCCAATTGCTGTCCGATGTGATCAGTGCTGGCTGAAATGTAGCGGTCATTACTCGTTGCTACATCATTGCAAGCTTAGCGAAAGCTTTTGAGCTTGCAAACACAGCGGACAAGCGGACCACTATGGCCAGTACTTTTTGACTAGTCGGTACCTTGTGATACGCGTCGTCGATTCTCGTGTCAGAATGGAAGTGACTGACTACCTGTACTAGATGATGAGCTGCCGATACGTCATGCCACTGGTCAAACACAGCAACACGCATATTGTTTGTATGCAAAACTAGCGCCACAAGAGGGGCCACATACCACATGCAGCATTCACGATGCGTATCAGACAGTCTTGTCGTCAGTGTCTTCTGGCTTTGCAAAACTTGCAAGCACAGGAGCATGAAGCAGCAGCGATGACGGCAAACTCTGCATGTGAGATACTGGGTCCGAGTGGTCCGTGTCGTACATGCTCAGCCACTCTTTGAGCGCATAGCGCAGCGTTGGAATGTCTCCATACTGCGTCACAATACCCCGTTCATGACACGCAAACTCGAGCTCACTCAGCGACAGGTCGTCAACGCCTTCCTTGAGCAACTGCTGATCATCCACACGAATCTCCATCGTCCGACGAACCAGCCTCTTCTCCAGCTGTGACCGCATGAGCAGCTTGTTCAAGACAGCAAAAGACGGAAAGAGTGCCGTGCCTTCCGACAGCACGTAGAGATGTTGACTAGGCAGCTGCTGGAGCGACGCCGGACCCTCGAAAAAAGGCACCAGCTCAGCCACTTCAGTTGGTCGTAACCCACTGCTGCCCTTTGTATTGGCCAGTGCGAGCATTTCCCGCAGCGTGTCGTCCTTGTGCTGAATCTGTAGCAGCAGCTCGAGTACCTGAGGGTACGTCTGGGCCCTGGCCTCGACCTCCTCACATAGAAACCGCGACTTTTGATCCGGTCGCCAGAACTGCCACGGCAGTAGCTGTTTCGGGAACTGGTAACCCAGCAACGGGGCCGCGTACCCCACGAGAGGTACGCTAAAGAAGACCAGGAGAGGCAGCGACTTGAGCAGATCGCGATGGGCTTGTCGCAGCAGCAGCATCTCCCTCCGTGTCAGAAGAAGTCGACCCTTGGACGCCTGTAGGCGTCGACGAAGCGCCCACGCTTGTTTGTTCTCCTGGTAGAGCCCCTTGAAACCGGTTACGAACGGTTGCAGCCACTTTTGCAGCTTCTGGTAGGGCGTGAGATCTTTCGATGCCGAGCTGAAGTTGCGCGCTATCGGGCCGTGCACTCGAGAGTTCGCACACAGTATGCGGTGGTTGCTCAAGGCCATGTGGCGGCCACTCATGCGGCGTAGAGAAGACGACCGCATGGGTACGTGGGAATGGGTCGAGAGTGCTAGTGCGACAGACTACGAACGTGCTTTAAGGTTTTGGTCGGTAGGAGGGGACGGTATTTACCGATGTTGGTACCGGTTTTTCTCTTGGATCCTCATTCGCAAAAAGGGAGAGATCAACCGCAGCGACCATGACGATGCAGGACGTCGAGATGATGGACGCCGAGCAAGTGCATCCACTACAGACGCAGTTTGAAGAAGCGGAGGACATGGTGGCGGAGCTGACGGTCCATCGATCGTCCGCCGATGCGGCGATTCGAGCGTTCCAGAGCATCATCGCCTACGGTACGACCGTCTTTAGTATCATCGGGCGATGTCGTGGACGATACCTGGATTTTATCCTGGGTACATGTGTCAAAGGGTTACTGACGATACCGTTTTTTTTGGGGGTTTTGTCGTGGCTGCAGTTGAAGATGACGCAGAGCTGGAACAAGTACAGCGTGTGAAGGAGCACTCGATCTACAAACTGGCGCAGCTGTACATCCAGTTTGGTCGCGAGAAGGAGCTTGCAACGCTGCTGCAGTCGCTGCGGCCTTTTTTTGCCACGTTGGCCCGTGCCAAGACTGGCAAGATTGGTGCGGCCAGTTTCAATTTGAAGAGAGTAACGCTATGGTGATGGGGATCAATTATACTGACAACGATGGATGTTTTGTGATGGATGAGTATAGTACGCACGGTGATTGACATGGTGGCCAAAGTGAAGACTTTAGATGCTGACAAGGCGCTGCAGCTACAGGCTGACCTGTGCCTGGACTCCATTGACTGGTGCAATCAGGAGAAACACACGTTCCTCCGTCAGCGCGTCGAGGCACGTCTGGCTTCCATCTACTTTCAGCAGAACAAGTCCCAGCCAGCGTTGGATCTCATTACGGAGCTATTGCGCGAAATCAAGAAGCTGGACGACAAGCAGCTGTTGGTGGAAATTCACCTCGTGGAGAGCAAGCTGCATCACGCGCTGCGCAATGTACCCAAGGCTAAAGCCGCTCTGACTGCGGCGCGTAGCATCTCCAATACGATCTATGTTGTGCCACGCACCCAGGCACAGATTGACCAGATGTCAGGTATCCTCCACGCCGAGGAAAGCGACTACAAGACGGCTTACTCGTACTTCTTCGAGGCCTTTGAAGCTCTGGCGACTCTGGATGAGGTGGAAGGGTTGAAGTGCCTCAAGTATATGCTGCTCGCAAAGATCGCTAGTGGTGGCGCGAGTGAGGTGACACTTATCATGAACAGCAAGCAGGCGATTAAGTACGTCGGCATCGATCTGGAGGCGATGCAGGCGGTTGGCAAGGCGCACGAACAGCGCTCTCTCGAACAGTTTGAAGCTGCTACGAAGAAATACGCACTCCGTACGTCGGTCAATATGCCGGATCACGTGTTGGTACAAATTAAGACCGAGAGCTAATTCGTGGTGTTGATGTTGTCAGAGCTTGCGGATGATGCGCTGATCAGAAACCACTTGAGCAAGCTTTACGAGCAGCTTCTCGAAAGCAACCTGATCAAGATCATCCAACCCTTCTCTTGCGTCGAGATTGCTCACGTTGCCAAGCTGATCAAGCTGCCACTGTTACAGATCGAGTTAACGTAAGCTCTGGCGTGAGCCTTCTCTGCTGGTGTTTATGCAACTGTATTGACCTGTCATGTGCATTTGTGCGCTGCCAGGTTATCGCAAATGATCCTGGATCACAAATTTCACGGTATCCTGGACCAGGGCAAAGGACAGTTGATTGTCTACGACAGTCCCACTGAGGATGTAAGCTGCAACAACATGTGCTTGTGTAGGCATTGTGCATGTGAAAAGTACAATATGGACTCACTTGTTGTTCTGCAATGTGTAGAAAACGTATGCCTCCGGTCTCGGTGTCATTGAGAACGTCGGACACATCGTAGACAATCTCTTCCGACGTGCTGACAAGCTGCACGCGTAGGTACGGAGCGGGTGGGACACTCGGAGTAGGCTTGACCACTACGGCTGGTCTTGACCCGACCTCTCCGTCTGAGAGTAATCAAATGAAGACCTGAGACGTGTGCGCAGTACCACCAACCTTATCTGTTGAGGATGTGGTATCATATTTCTCGTCTGGCGGATGAATGCTCAGTCAAGTCGGTAGGAGTGGAGATGGCTAACTCGTTTTGTTGAAGAAAATAGTGGTCGTCGGAGCCCTTTGTGTCGCACCTCGTACGCCCGAGCCCCTGCAAAGGCTTGACGTCTTCCGTCCTGTATTCCGAGATTTCTTGACTTATTTTATTGCATTTAGACGGCAATTTGGGGTTGATAGTAAGCAAAAACTTTCAATTATCCTTGCCTGTTACCTTGCGTAGCGTACTACCCCCTGCTCACACATGTCGCGGGCACATGATCGTCAGGCGAGTTTTCCGGGTCCATCGCCGATCGTGCACAATACTGATTCTATGTACTCTGACCCAAATCGAATAGGACTTTTAGGGAATTGCTGGATGTAGTCTCTGGTCAGTATCACCTCTCTTCGTCTTTGACAAGCAAACACTCGAAACAATGCATTTCAATTGGTCGATTTGATGTGTTTTTTATGCGCTGATTTCTATTGCGTGGAATTTCACTTTAATCTCCCTCCGTTTCATGATGTTTGTCTCTTTCCGCACAAAAATGAAACACACGGTCATTTTTACAGCCTGACTGGCTGAAGCCCGTTAAACAAAGGTTTTTGTGCGCTCTCAGATAGCGTCGCGTATTTTTCAGTAGTCGCAAGCCGAGAAGTATGCATATGCAAACCCATCGTTATAAAAGTTGTGACGTCGTAGTTGAGTGCAAAGCGTTTAAGCCACTATTCGTCATGTGCTGGGGCTTCAACAACAGCTAAATAAAGGAACAGCACAGCTATTTATCCCCAGATTCTTAAACCGCCTATAAGTAATCGATATTGCCGCTTGAAAAAAGGCGCATAAATTAGGTTAAATCACACCTATTCGCCTCTGCAATTAATTATGGGAGCCGCTAATGAGCCTTCAGTTTTTGCTGATGAGCCTTCAGTTTTTGCTAATAAGCCTTTGCCACATACATCAAACAAGTAGTTAGATTTGAAAGCCGTTAAATTATAAAAGGATATTGATAGGTACATACCCACCCTTTGATGCGTACACACCCACCCTTTGACGCGTACACACCCACCCAAACTGTGTAAATTAATCATTTGCCACAAATTGTAACGTAAAGCACAAAAATAAGCTACTACATCAACAGTCGTAGACTCGTCGTCCGTATTGTCATGTTAGTCCATATCACCCACTAGACCGTGAGATTAACGTCGACGTACGACCGCACGTCTTCGAAGAGCAGCAAGAGTCTCCGCACAGGCTGTCCAGGAAGTCAAAGTAGTCAGGTAAGTAGCCAATAGGCCCGAACATGATGAGAAGAGAAGATCGAGCTGAAAGGAGAATTGGGACAAGCCAAGAACATCATCTCTGCCGCTAACAACTTGGCGCAACAAGCACGGAAGCTGTCACATCATCTCATCTTGGCGTTGCAGCAGGAACACGGGTTCATGACTCCCATGCTTCGTAAAAACGGTAATACTGCTAGCAGCACTAATCCAGACGTGCGTCGGCAATCTCGCAATAATTCTCAGACACCCCAACGCCACCGCGCTCTCGATTTGCTCGAATGAAGCTAACTCGAACACTTACATCACTAGCAGATGCGACTTCATTCTAGAATTGTGGTGGAAACAAGTTTTTCCAGAGTTGAAGACGCTTGACATCAAGCACCAGGTAGTTTGGGTACTCAAATCGCACTCAGCAACGAGGCTCATGACTGTTTGTCGGGAGGTACGACAGCGCCAATACGTGGAGTTACCCTCAGCTGTGACTCTGAAGCGGCTTTGGCAGTTTGCAGCAATTCAGAAGAGTGCTGGTGTGTCGACGATTGACTTCATGCCATCAGTCGGGTGCGTCAATTAGGATCGATGACCAGCAATGCAGTACCGAAACAGAGATAAGAACAACGAAGACAACGGCGATGCAGTCGGTGTGGCCCACAGTTTTCGATGGGGGCTTGCATGAAGAGAAAAAGCTTCGAGATGGACTGATGAGACGATCTGTCGATCGAGTTAAAGAGGTTGAGAGACTCAAGCTGTCTACTTGTAGTATAAAAACAATTTTTTATGGCTGGTGGATATTGGTCTTCTGCCGTGACTACATCGGCGTCTCAGCGCTGGCTCATTCTGGAAAGATTAATCCCATAGCAATGGCCGTGATCGCGATTTTTTATTTTGAGCTTGATCGTGGCTGTCATCACGTTCATATTTATGGCTGTGACCGTTGACATAGCCATGGCCTGAACATGTCAATAGTGTATTAGTGTAACGGGGCACCCTGAAGCTTGTACTGGTGACAGTACAAGCTACTTATTCTGATGACAGAATAAGGCGGTGCCTCGTAACTTCACGTACACTGGTACGTGCAGAGGAAGACGGTAAGAAGAAGCGAGTACTTGGTTAAAGTAAAAAGTAGAACTGTATTTATAATAGTTAATGTCTGCAATAAATAACTATTTATCTTCATCTAACTATGTCTAAATACAGATGTGTAAATCAGTTATCTGCTCACCACTCATTGCGTGCGTCTGTCGTGGAGCGTCTTCGTTGGTTGATATAATGGCCTATATCAACCAATTAGGAACTACTCGTAAGTGCTACAGAATCTTTGTCCTTATGACAACATTCTGAGAATATAACTCTTATAGTTATATTCTATTAACAATTTCTTATAAATTGTTATGTAACGATTCACCCCGTTACATCACCCCCCCCTTAACCATCAGTCACTTTAGTGACTGATTGACTAAATGGATACTCGTCCCAAATCATTTGGGACAGGGTTTGCACTTGTCGGTCCGCGTCCACTTTCCAACATTTCATCGCATGGTTAACAAGCCCATGCGATGCGCGAGCAAGGCCGCCGAGAGCGCGTCCGCACGTCTCTGTGCGGACGCCGAAGCAGAAACCACAGCAACTGATGTCTCATCGGTTGCTGAAGTGACCCAGCCTGTGTCACTTGGTGATGCAGGCGCTGGTCATGAAGACACTCATGTCTTCACAGAGTATGAGCTCGGTGTCTCGTACTCTCCTGATACGGAAGACGGATCCGTATCGACGGCGATTGAATTCAAGCCGCCTGCCAAGCGTGGCATGGACGATGCTTTGCGTCGCAGCATCTTTGGTTCATCTGATGAATCAGATGAACCATCGCCGAAGCGAAGGCGCTCGAGGTCGCGAGACTCGGGCGCTAACAGTGGTGTCGGTTCTCCTATGGACACCACTTCGCAACGAGGTGCCAGTACTTCTGTCGGCACGTCGCAGGAAGAGCGGGACCGCAATGTGTTGCGTCTCGCTCCGGAGAAGAAGGCATGGATGCCTCCCAAATCAGTCATGGATCACTTGTCGGCGACGACGGGTGATCGTTATTGAACACGATTGTTCGATTCGTCAAGGATCCATCACCTTGACCCCAGCGCGAAAAACTATCGCGCTGAGAATGAATTCTTCATCGATGCTTTCTTTAGACATCGATGGTACAGTGGGAATCACAAGCGTGATGGTCCCTCACTGCTTCAGGCGTGGAACGCCTATATCCATAACCTTGAGGATGTAGGTCGTGACGCTTGGAACGACAAACTTATCAAAGCTCGTGATAAGTTTGAAAAGCGAACCCCGACAGGTGCACGCTACAAGCTGCATCGTCTGTCAAGGGAAAAAGGATTACCCTGTCTCTCTTGGGGAGACCCGTGCTGTGTGAACAACTCTGCACGAGCACCTAAGGAGGCTTACCTCCCTAATAGCCCGTGGTGGCGCGTACGTATCTCTATTGAGATGTACGAAGGGATTGACAACCTGAAATCCCTTTACGACCGTGCCGGGAAGACTTTCTCCGGCGGTCCTTCTGCGGCACAGGATGCGCCGCATCGTACTGCTCAACCAGACCCAGTACGTCGATCATCAGTTGGGAGCGGGGCTCCCAAGTATCCCAGGACGGGGGATAGCCGCGCCACCGGACGAGATAACTCGTCCGACGTCCGTTCACGTCGCGGTGGTTCAACAGCTGCTCAACTAGATAGCGCTGGCCACCGCGAGAGTCCTCTAATGGAGGTGGAGGAGGAGGAAAGACGCTCTCCACACGATCATGGGGATCCGTGTGTTCCCGAGATCTTCTTTGATCGCGTAACGCAAGGGTTACGCAACGATCTCGAACATGAGCGGGACAGGCGTCTCCAAATGGCGGACACTGTCTTGAAGCATCGAGCTGAGTTTGCCTTTGCTCAGCTTGAGAACGAGAGATCTCTGACATCTCTTCGTGGCGAGCTAAGGGTAGCTCGTGGGATTGTTGATCGGTCTCGGGATGAGATAACTGCTCTTCAGACCCTTGTTGATGCCCACCATCGGGAGCACAAGGCTCTCTGCGAGATGCTTGAGCGCAAGGGCGTTCTTCATCGGAAGAAGCAGCGTACTGATGGTACGGCTTAAGCCGACCAACGTAAAACGTGGGATGCGTTCGTATCTTACGTGGTAACTCGATCGTGTATGCATTGCCTAGGCGGTGCAATACACGAAATGGGCCGATGTACTTGGGTAGAAGTTTACTGCTACCCAAGTTAGTCACTACATGCTTTGGTAGGTTATCCGCAGACAGTAGTACTAAGTCACCTTTATTAAATAAAATAGTGTTTACCCTTCCATTCTTGTCAGCGTTTTGCTTTTGCTGATCCACTGCTTCGGCGATGGAGTCTTGCACAAAACGGACTACCGTTTCACGAGCCAGTATGAACTCATCTGATGACTCGTTAGCTTCAGTGCGCTGTGAGCGCACTACAGCAACATCAACATTTTCTTCAGTGAGGGCTTCCGCACTCTCACTGGCATCATCTTCTTCAGTGAGGGCTTCCGCACTCTCACTGGCATCATCTTCTTCGATATCGATGTTATCGATATCGGCATCAAACGCAATGACCTCTTCGTCAGAGCGTGATGATCGTGAACCAAATCGGTTTTTGCTCGCACGAGTTCCTCCCCCCCTTAAACCAGAATTACACTCTAGTAAGGTGGGTACACGCGGATGGCGCAAGCCATTCACGTAAAACGGTGTATGTGTCGTGGACGCATGCACCGAGTTGTTAATGGCAAACTCTACCATTGGCAAAAACTCACTCCAACTCTTAAAGGAGTGTACGTATCCTCGAAGTATCTCTTCAAGGACACGATTGGCACGTTCCGTCTGACCATCTGACTCTGGATGATCAGATGTCGACATCTTCAAGCGCGTTCCGAGTGATTTGAACACGGAACGCCAGAAATCAGCAGTGAATCGTGGATCTCTGTCTGATACGAGTTCACGGGGCAACCCATGAAGTCGGAAGATGGTGTCAGTAAAGACACAAGCACAGCCACTTGCCGTGATTGCATCTGGCACAGCCACGAGGTGTACCATTTTGCTGAATCTGTGAACAAATACGAGAATACCCGTATTCCCGCGTGCGTCTTTGGGTAACCCGAAGACGAATCCATTGAGATGGATTCCCAGCACTCAGCCGGATCCGGTAGAGGCTGTAAAGGTGCACGCAGTGAAGGACTTGACTTCACTCGTTGGCAGACTTCGCATGCGCGAACATACTTTCGCACAAACTGATACTGACGGGGCCAGTAAAAGTCTCGACTTACCGTGAAATATGTTTTCTCTCGGCCACGATGTCCTCCTATAGGAGCATCGTGATACTCGAACATGATCCGCAAACGCAGATCAGTATCATCTGGAATGACAACACGTGGTGTGTCACCAGAAACGGCTGTATAATATAGTAAACCGTTACGAGTAGTGTATCGATCTGATGCAGATCGATACGCAGGCGACAATCGTTTCAACGATTCTCGGGATGGTTGGGAGAGATGTGTCAACAACTTCACAATCTCACCATCTTGGGCGTATGCCCGCCTCACATCATCATACAACGTTGTAGATGGGACTGAGGACGTCATAACCGCAACAGTGACTGTCTCACTGTTGGGTTTCACGACTGGTTCAAAGTCGGGACGACGTGAGAGCGCATCAGCGACGACATTAAGTCGTCCTGGTTTGTACTCGACCGTAAAGTTGTATTCCGCAATGAATGACAACCACCGCGCCATTCGTTGTGAAAGGTGCGGGCTGTTCACCGCCGTGCGTAATGACGCATGGTCAGTGTAAACAATGAAGGGTCTATCTCCTAATAGATAGAATCTGAACTTCGCGAGTGCATACTTCATGGTAAGGAGTTCCTTGTCATGCACTGGATAGTTTCGCTCAGCTGGTGGCAGCTGACGCGACTGATAGCAGACGACGCGTTCGACGCCTTCAAGATCGCACTGCATTATTGCACAGCCGATTGCGAAATCGCTGGCATCACAGACAACATGAAATGGCCATGTCCTGATCGGCTATTGCTAGGACTGGGGATTGTATCAAGCTCTGCTTGATACCCTCAAAGGAGCGTTGACATTCAGCATTCCATAATCACCTCTCGTTCCTTTTCAACAAACGAGAGAGGTGTACAGTCATCTCGGCGTAATTGCGTGAATATCGTGCAAATACGCCGCTAGCCCGAGGAATTTTCGAAGACCTTTGACATCAACTGGCACAGGACAGTCGGTGATCGCCTTGATCTTTTCGGGATCAGGACGTACACCGTTCTTACCAACGATGCACCCAAGAAGTGGTATTTCGCTTGCTGCAAATGTGCACTTCTTGAGGTTAGCATACAATTGATGCTTTCGCATGATTGTAAGAACTTGTCGGACGTGGTACCTGTGAACCTAAACGTCCGACTTTCCATCCATAGCTCGACTATGGATGAATACGTCATCGAAATAACTCGGCGCGAATTCTCGTACTGGTCTCAACAGATGTGATACACATCTGTTGAACGTGGCAGGGGCATTACTGAGCCCTTGTGGCATTACTAGCCATTCCCAGAGCATGCCGCTAGGCGTGCTAACTGCGGTATAGGGTATATCCCGTTCCCGCATAAGGATTTGATAGAAGCCATCCATCAAATCCATGGACGAAAAGATGGTACTCTTTGACATACCATCAATGATTACGTCCTTCCTCGGTATCGGCGTCTGAGCCGGTACCGTTGCAGCGTTCAATTTGTTGAACGCGTGCTCTATCCGCCACCCTCCTGTTGCTTTTCGCACACAGAAGGTCGGAGAGCTATGTGGGGAAGTTGATTCCCTCACATGGCCCGCAGCTAAACGATCGGCAAAGAACTTGTAGATCGCAAGTACTTGTTCACGAGGCAGTGGCCACTGCTTCATAACACAGTACTTCGAGCCTGGTTTAAGCTCGACCTCGTGTCGAATACCTTTATCCTTCGGTAACTCGCACGGAACAGTTTCAGGGAATACATCCTTGAATTCAACCAAATCTTCATAGTGAGGATTTTTCTTGAGCGATTCCCATGATTGGGAGTCATATCGCTCAATTCGTGTCTTTTCATCTAGGACACTCTCGTCCATAGATGAACTACTGAGAACTCTCTCGTTCTCAGTAAACACTGTTGCTGACCTTATGTCGGTTACATACTCGTCGTCAGCGACGAGTACGCAGATCTGCTTGACTTTGCCACTACGCAGATCATGCAAGAACCTTTTATGTTCGAGCGTTGGCAACTGAGTGATCTCCGAAGTTAACTTCGGAGGCGCAATCAGATTAAGTGTATAAGCGCCTACACTTGATCCGTTATTGACTATGACATTCAATGTCTCTGTCATTTCCTGGGGACTTATTCCCTCAGGCTTCGAAGAACTTATTCCTTCGGCTTCCCGGGGACTTATTCCCGCGGGTTTCGGGGAACTTATTTCCGCCGTATTTGTAATCTTGGGACTTATTCCCTTAACTTCCTCTAGATGTGGTTGCGCAACCACAGCGAGATCCTCTACGAAAGACTCTCCAGTCGATCTAGGATTATCGTTTCGCCTAACCTGAGCGATCGATCGTTTCTCTTCTAGATGTTCCCCGCTAGGGATACATCTTTGTCCCAGTCCACCCGACTTATTCGAGTGGTGGACCTTCGGCGCAGCCTGTGTTTCCTCACAGCCGCCGGAACTTTGCTCCGAAGTGTAACCGTTTGGTACACTAAGGTTTTGTGCAGTCGTACTAACGACCGTACCACAAGTGAGGCCATCGCACTCACTCGTAGTACATCCACACGCTTGTGGACGCTCCAAAACTTCATCAGATGGCCATCTGATGAACAAGCGGCAGGCATCGTTACTGTCCGATGTTGCCAGTTTACCCGTGGTTCGTACCTTCTGAGCCACGGTATTCCAAGGATGACATCAAATTTGTCATCTAAATCCAATACGGTAAAGTCATCGTCATATTGGGTATCTTCTAGCGTATAGTGGATTTTCACTACACGCTTCATGACGGTTACGGATGCGTTTGTCGCAAGGCGTACCGTCATCCTCGTAGGAGGTGTGTCACATTCACTGAACTTAAAGTGACCATCTTCTAGCGATTGGCGTCGCACAAAATTGTTGGACGCCCCACAATCGACTAGAGCTCGAAGGGACAATTTATTCGTCACTTCGAGTTTCAAGGTAATGAGTGAGATCTCATTACCTAGAGCAGCAACGCACAACGTTTGTGTGTAGGGAGCAACCTTCATCAAGAGGCCTACAAATTCTCTTGACGTTGCTGGACCAGTAGGGTGCTCCGCACCTACTGATCCTGTCCGTTTTTTTATGGTCCATCCCGTTGTTGCGTCTTTGCACCAGCAGCGGACCCTCGTCCCCGCCCCTTTCTCATGGGTGGACGGTCACTACGCCCAGTATCGCGAGACACTGGACGAGGGGCACTACACTCGTAAGCGTAGTGTCCTGTTTCCTGACATCTGTTTCATCTCTGCAACTTCTTGTAGCCTGTAGAGCGAGCCTTCTCGCTCTCTACATAACAGAGTTCCATCGGCTCTGGACCTCCGCTGTCATATCGTCTCGGTTGACGATATGATGTCGAGCTGGCGCGAGCCTGTCTCGGACTGAAGTCTTCCTGTTCCGCAATGGAAATGGCTTGTTCTAGTGAATCTAGTTCAAGCCGGAACAGGTGAGTCTTGACGGGACCATCCGCAAGACCCTGCATGAACACCGAAACCAACGTGTGTTCATCCACCGGATTGGAACTTATACAACTCGTGAGATGTCGTATATGTTGCGCGTAAGCGTGCACATCACGCTTACCCTGCTTGAGCTTCAAGAGTTCGGTTCGAGCTCTGAACTCAGCTCTAGGCGGTTCAAACGTTTGTCTGAGCCGCGACTTGAAGACTTCCAACGACCCAAACGCATATGGGTCGTGCAACTTGAGCCCCAGTGCCCAAGTCTTGGCACGTTCTACCAGATTTGACTGGGCAAATGCAACTTGCATATCCCCGTCGTCGATGTGACGCGCCCTTATGGCGTCATCTAATTCGACGAACCATCTCAAGAGGGAGTCCTCTTCGACTCCCCTATACTTGGAGATGTCAATCTTCAAGGTTTCGGGTCGACGCGAGTGCATCGACCCACCAGCAGCAGCCTGCTGCTGTCTCAACAGTTCAAACTGTTGAGCACCCTGTTCTCTCAACAACTCTGCTTGTTGAGAACCTTGTTGGTGAAGCAAGGCTACTTTCTCGCGTTCGGCGTCAAGTTCATTTTGAATGAACTTGGCGATAGTAGCATGTTGGGCATCTCTATTGAGAGCCTCTAGCATGACGCTAACAGCATGGATGCCCATGGTTAAACCCATTCGTTCAACCGCATCCCATTCGACATCGCTCAAATGGGAGTAGCCGTCACGCGTAGCGTGAAAGCTTTGGTCATCTTCATCATCCAACATATTCATGTTAGATGTGAACGTGGTCCTTGGACGGACTACGAAGTGCTACCAGGTGTAACGGGGCACCCTGAAGCTTGTAATGGTGACAGTACAAGCTACTTATTCTGATGACAGAATAAGGCGGTGCCTCGTAACTTCACGTACACTGGTACGTGCAGAGGAAGATGGTAAGAAGAAGCGAGTACTTGGTTAGAGTAAAAAGTAGAACTGTATTTATAATAGTTCATGTCTGTAAATAAACCACTGTTTATCCTCATCTAGCTATGTCTGAATACAAATGTGTAAATCAGTTATCTGCTCACCACTCATTGCGTGCGTCTGTCGTGGCGCGTCTTCGTTGGTTGATATAATGGCCTATATCAACCAATTAGGAACTACTCGTAAGTGCTACAGAATATTTGTCCTTATGACAATATTCTGAGAATATAACTCTGATAGTTATATTCTATTAACAATATCTTATAAATTGTTATGTAACGATTCACCCCGTTACAATTAGGCATCCTTTGTTTGGGATGCCACAAAACTTTACGTACACTCGTACGTCTGTGGCAAAGCGGTCACAAGGACATTTATATTGG